ACTTGAAACTTCTAAAGTGTACTATTATATATCTATGATAGTATCACGGTTTTTGTTGATGTATAACCCGTTATAAGTACCTAATGGATATTTTGATATGATTAATTTTGGAATTTATTATAGGTACCTACCTATTATAGGTCAAATTTTGGTTTAGTACCATAGATATGTATAATGTATATAATATGTCTTATACCTAGACTGACATACTGTCTCCGCTCAGAATCGTTTTTCTTATACAATGATATTATATCGTTGAATTCAAATTTAATATCATCCATTATACAGTGACCCACTTGTAACCTACTGTACAGCAGAGCGACACCCACTTGCCCACCTTTTTCAAAAATGAACTTGGTTTGAACATGTCAAATGATCGCAATCTTAGCACAACAAGATACAAAACTACTATTGATGCGGTCTCTACAAGATATTTGAATAAATTCGAATCAAAATTGTTTGTATCATACTTTAGCTACCATAAACCGATTGTATCAGTTTTAGAAATTGGCGATGATGCTGGCAGTGATGATGGTGCAAGATTTGGTGAAATGATGGATGGAAATTGATTTTTCTGAGTGTACTTTAACTCATTTTTGTAAAGCATTTGTAATAATTTTGACATGTAATTTTTTTTTCTCTTATGTAAAATAACTGAAATAATTATGTATAGTATTTTATATTGATAAATAAAACAATTCGTGGTACATTATTTCCTAAGCATTACAAAATTTTTAAAAACGACGTGAAATTGTTCTAGTATATATACACATACACGCTCACACTTAAGTATAACAGTATATATACCACAGTATATATATACATGTACTCTCGGTGGCGGTGGCGGTGTCGCGATTTCATACTTTTTTCCTCACCCGCGAATGCATTCTTACGGGGTTGCCCAACGACATTTAGATTTTAGAATAGTCTATACGCGAAATAAAATCGTAAAATCAATTTCTATATCGGTCTGCGTCAAAAGCTAAATTTAAACACGCCGCGAACAAATACGGTCACACCATAGCTCAGATTAATGATTATTATCGTCTCGTATTTCGTATATTATATTGTAATCGTAGTCCAGTACAATCCCAAAATACCATATTTATAAATAATTATATTACCCATAATAATATTATTCAACAACGAACATATTATTTTGTGTTATTGTGTAATAACTTGAACCGGTCGCCTGGAAGGAGGTGATTATTTTTTTTATAATACAAACATGTACCGGCGCGCGGCAGGGCAAACGACGACGACGACGAAGACGAATCAAACGCGACACAATATTTCCCCTCCACCTATGCCGCCGACAACCGACGAAAGACTGACCGAGGCCCCACTCGCATGAATCGTAACGTATTATTCCTTAATCGGCTTAATCCGTATTCGCCTTTTCGCCAGTGGCCAGTGTTGCAGACGTCCGTTACTTTATTTATTTATAGTAGTACACTCAAATGGTATAGTAGTACTTGGCAGTTTGGAGTTTCGCACATCGACTTACAACTTAGTAGTTGCCGTCAGCCCGTGGACACTACAGACCATCTAGACCGAATACTTATTACCGGTTGGTGATTATTGATTGACCGGAGACTTCGTAGTTTTTGGTAAGTACCTATAATACTAGTTTACCTACTCTTAAAATATGGGTTTGATAGCTTAACGCGGGATGCTCCTGTGGCTTATACATAGGTATGTATATTACTGTTACTTAATTCAAATTATAAATTAATAGGTAGGTAGTTTTCCTAATTTAATTTTTAAATTAAATAATTATTTAGGTATACCTAATGAATAGTAATAACATAATATTATAATATATCATTATTATTATAAGTGCCTTGTCTTTCTACTTCAACAATGATTAAACTATGATGTGTCTATCGGTCTACCAAGCGGGAATGTTTAGTACTGTGCAATAGATTTTGTAACATGTTCTCCAATATAATTGTAATAGAAATATTAGGAAATACAACTCGTCATGTTTTTATGCTTTTAGTTTTATGAACATTTTCGTCGTGTTGCGATCCTATCAGTATTTTAAGGGAGTTTTTCTTTCATTTTTATCTTAAATTGTAAAGTTCTAAACAGTTGTCAGTCACACTTTTAAGTTCTGAGTGTCACGTTTTGTATGATTATTAATTAATATTACATTATAATGTACCTACAGATTTTGTTTCAAACTGTGAATAATTTCGATTTCGCAATCGTGATTAAAGGTCCCCCTGCAGCGGTAACGGTTACTGCAACATGAGTCCGGACACAATTTTACCGCCACCGCTGCAGTGTGTAAATGTATAATTTTATCGTAGGTTAGTACGGTGCATAAACTAAGATAATTTATAGATAGTTTATCTTAGTTCATGGTTCGGTGTAAACATAATTTGTACATTATAATGTAAGATGCTATCTATAAATACACAAACATATATTATTAAGTGTTTACATTTTGAAAGTACACGATTTAATAACAATAAAAATGATGAAAGGGCGGGGATTTACACTGCTTACAGATTCCCCGAAAAAATATTACGTAATAATAATAGCCGGTATCCGTACGAGTAATAGCATTGATTATACATCAATGCTAATGGTTATTCTATTCATACACTACACACATCCAAGTCCACACGAAAGCACCTATACATAATATCGAGTTATCTAGTATCATCGTGTTGTAATTATTACTATTAATACAATATAATAATATTGTTAATTGTTGTTTTATATAATCACTGGCTATTCAGTGGTAGGTATGCTTTGTCCCTTTAACATAGAAGTTTAGGACAAGGGGCTTCGACATTTCATATGGAGTACTATTCTTTCATATAATAAATGCTCGTAAATTAATATGCGCCTCCCTATTCGTGTTTCAAACGGATTGGTCGTTTTTTTTTTTTGATGTTTACGAACAAGACAACACATTATGTTTTATACTATTATACGTGATTCGTTATTCGCAATGATACCTATACCTTTATCTATATTCGTATATAGGCTCTCTACCTACATCAATTTGTTGGGATTGATAGATATTCGTTAGGGTGTGCAAGGATGTACAATAATTGTTTAACGTTTGGTTATAAACAAATACTAACAAATAACATGTTAATATTGCTGATGAGTGATGAATTGGAGCCCTGAATTTAATGCACTTAAAAAGTACTAAACATGCATCTACTTATGCACTTATTTGTTTTTTTACTTACAATTTTCTCAATTGGTACATATATTATACCTGGTATTTTACTAAAACTATTAATAGTGACTAGTACCTTTGACCTGGACCTCTCATTTCTTTTTAAATTCATCAAACATTGCAACTGCTACATCACTACAAAGATTATTCCAGTTTACAATCTTGTGACGCATTTTTCGTTGTATATTTTTTGGCCTTTGAAATTTGCTTAAAAATTTGTAACTGGTATTTAATACACTGGTACCAATAATGGGCCACTGGTACAATGCTTATAATAAATTACCATTAAAGTCTCTTTTACAATTATATTTTTAATGTTCTTTCAATGTGCCTCTGCATACAATTCCATATTTTAATTTGGAACAACTATTAAGTTTTGGCACCAAGGTTCTCTCCCGAAGAAATTTAACACATATTAATGTGTCTAAATGTCTAATGTTCATTGGATATTCTATGCTCGTACAAATAGTGCATTGATTTATTCGTTATACCTATGTGAAAATAAAAATGGTGGTGATTTTACGTTAAATATAACCATTGATTATGTACCACTGATATAACTATATTAGAAACTGTTTATGATTTAGAATGTTGAATGCAGTATAAAATATATACATATAATGAAATATATTATTATGTAGGTACCTATTGAATATTTGAATGTCTAATATAAGTTGGTATTTTATAAATAGCTAGCTGACTAGCGTACTTATAATATAGCTTTGCCTGTGCTAAATTTTATCATAATAAACTTGTATTCCGAAAAAACACATTGAAAACAATTAAAAGTAATCTCTTGTTAATTTTAAAAAAAAGCTGGTATTAATTCAGAGCGAGGAGGTACACAGGCAGCTAGTATCTTATTAAAAAGCTTATTGACCCGTAACATTATTAGGTACATTAATGAAAAAAACTAGTATTATAAATTGTTTAAAAATTTAGTGTTAGCTGCTGATCCGTTCTATTTTATGTATTATTATTAGTATGTAGCTGTGTTCAATTAATTATTATTTGTAAATTGTTGACACAAACGTTCCCCAAGGCACCAATATTAGTGTCCTCGTTGACGTATACTCTACCAACAAATGTATCATTAAAATCAGTGTAATGAATATGTAATGAATAATTAATACCTGTTTGTGTACTAAAAAACATTATTTTGTTTATAATGTTTTTATAGTTTACTGTGTAGTACCTATATATGGTACACAGCTTATTGAACAACTTATGCAGTTTTTTGTAACCTTTTTCATTGGTTGCCTTTAAGTAAATAGTTACAATTATATTTATTAATTTAAGGTAAATGTTTTAGACTCGCACTAAACCATATTTGATTAATTACCAATGTCAACTATTCTCCCATAATGTTTTATAAAATATTACAATTATATATATCTACAAATTTCAGGACAAAATTCTGTTTAAAAAAAGTCTGGTAAATAAGTCTAATGAAATAAAAGTCCTGAATTTAATTACTATTTTTGTATGTAGGTGACTACTAAGTTGGGTCACCTAGGCTCCGCCATTTCAAATTTTGGGCCTCTGTATTAAATACAGTTCTTATAAGATGCTTTTTTTAAATACAATAGTACACTTATTATTTAGGTACTAATAATTTATTGTTAATAATTATGTACATATTTTTTTTTGGTTGAAAAAAATTATTTAACTAGGAACACCTACTATGTAAAAATTGAAATGTATATTTCAGACTAGTTTTTATGTTTAGAATTAAAAATTGTCATTATATAGTTTAAAATAAATTAAATAACCATTATATTTTATAGGGAAAGAAGAAATGAATGAAACAACTGGAATGGATTCATCTGGTAAGAATATTAATTTTTATTTAAAAAAAAATTGCTCTAGTTTACCATTTTAACATAGTATACCTACCTACCTGTTATCTTTGTATACATTTGAAAAAATAATATTACATTTTTCATCAAATGCTCATAGTGTTCTATATTCTTCTCTTAAATTATTATAATTTTCCGTATTTCATTTAGTTTGAGAATAAAAAATAAAATTTAAATAAGTGCCTATATGATAAATCTATAGTATTAAATATTTTGTTTTAAATTTTAAATATTTTACTTTATTAATTGTATTTTTTCAGATGAAATTGATATTCTAATGGAGGAATCCCCTCTAGATGTAGGAGACGCTATACAAGAAGACAATAACTCTTCGGTAATTCTTTATTTTTGATTTATAATTTATATACCTACAAGTAATTATTGGGTAATTTAGCAATTTGTTGTTTTTATAAATGTTAAGTATTCATTTTTTTTTTTAATTGCTAAACATAGGTAATGCTTTATATACCTAATATATGAAGCATTTATATTATTCTTAAATTGTTTTTTCAGTATTACATGTATATGTGTACATCAAAAGGATTATTTTCTCTAGTATATTTAATATTTTTAGAATGAATCAAAGATAAATTCTATTTCTAAAAAAAACTACTTTTTAATAAAATATATACCTTTCCTTATGTTTTTTTTTTTATTTATAATTTATTAGTTACACAGTATGGATAATGAAGAAAGGGAGAAAAGATATAAAAATTTACTTAAACTTTTACAAAATAGTAATAAATTATCTAATGCATTTGACACCAAATTGAAAAATTGTAAACTTCAAATTATTAAGTAAGTTATTTGTTTAAGTTAAGTAACTATTATTATTATTATTTGATTATACTTTGTTCAAAATAAGAAACCCATATGGTGGCCTACTTTGGCGTATGGTTGTGACAATACTACACGGCAGGTATATAGATTGGTATACAGGGGCGAAAAACTGGTGTTACTTGATTGCCACCAACAATAACTGGTCACAGCCATATGAGTTTCTTATTTTGAATAGTGTATAAAAATTAGAAGCTATTTTTAACCAAAGAAAAAAATTATCGAATCCTTTTTCTTCTTTTTTATTAAAATGTATTATAGCTAAATGATTTAATAATTAATTATCACATACAAATGTTTTGTATACATTGTGTATAACAATTTAATGCTTAGATTATATACTTTGGATGTAGGCACAAAGGACTTTTGTTGTGACCAACTACCCCCAAATTACCATCATGTTTCGGGTTACATTCATTATTGCATATGCGGCAGCAGTTGGCCGCCATATTTAGTAGACCAACGAGCTTGCTCAGTTGTGAATTACTCAAAATTATAAGTCGGGGGTATGTTAGATACAAATGAGTATACGGTTCATGAGTTTCTAAAAAAAAAAAATACCAAAAAAAATATATTTTAATTTATAATCTGATCCATTGACTAATATTCTCATCATAAGACACTAATTATGTGTCTTATGTTACATCAGTCATCCTGTTTAATTTCCAATAATATGGGAAATTTTGGATCACTTTTTTAATTGAAATTTTCTTTAGTAAAATTTACATAATATATTCATTGTATTGAAATATAAATTTTTATTTCTGTATAAAAAATAATTCACTATTATAAATATGTTTACATCATGTAGAAAAGAACTAGAAAAATCTAATAAAGTTGATGAAAATGTACCCATTAAAGTTGAAGTTGATCCAAACACAGTTTCAAATAATCAACCAATCGAAGTAAGTTCTATGGTTAAATATGAATGCATATTGATTTATTATATGTTTTGTAGTTAGAAATTGGACAACTTTGACATGTCTAAGAACAATAACTCAAAATTGTAATATTTTTAATTATTAATTTGAATATTAAAAACCTGTACTTTAAAATAAGCATTTTGTATATAAAAAAACACAATATACTGTTCCCTTTGAACCATGGTGTCAATACTAGGTACGCACCAAATAAATACTCTCAATTTTGGCCAAAAAAAAACCGCCTGTCGAATGGTATTTGATTTCATAGGGACCCAGATTTTAAATTCAATGCCAACTTATTTAGCAAACATGCCATTGCCATTGTTTAAGAAACATATCACACACTGGTTAATGTATGAATGTGACGTCACTAAATATGATTGAAAATATGCCACTATATTCACACACATATTATCATTCAGAATCTTATGTTACCTATTGCTTCCATGTCTATATTTATAATATTAGTATTATTTTTATCATGAATTATTTTGTACCAATCTACCTATAACTTACTTTATCTATTTTTGTTTTTGTTTTTACCTTTATTGTATAATTAGGATATTAATTTCAAACACAAATATTGTAGATGTCTGTCAATTATAATTTTTATGCAAATGTGTAATGTATAGTAGATAACCCTGGGCCTCCACACGAGTATGTCTCAGTGAGGCCCACTAATCTCATAGATTTAAATTTAAATAAAAATAAATAAATAAATTTACTTGTCCATCTATATTAGGTAGGCCTGTCTGAAATTAATTCATTTTCTTCTGGCTTATTCTATTTTGAAAATTAATTCCAACAATGGATTTCAAAAGTAAATAGCAGACATTAGTTATATGGTCTAAACATCTACAAATAGTTTCTTTAAAATATTGTTTAGATGATTGAGTGTAATATGTGTAGTTAGTGGAGTCATCAGTATAAGCAATCACCAACAATTTTACCTATACCTATATTTATTTTTACTACCTCTGGAAAACTGGTTGGCAATTTATTTTATGATTTTTACTTTTCAAAAATTATATAACTGCACAGTTCAAGATTTTAAAAGATCACAAATTGCAGTGTAACCTTTTAATTGTAAAGAAAATATTAAAACAGATTTTTTTTTCAAATGCAAGCTATGATTAAATTATTACTTACTTAATGTTTTTGAAAAAGAGCTGCTTATATTTTCATTTGTTAGTTTTGACTTTAGCATAGCTATGTGTATAAATGGTAAATTTAGTATAGTGTTGGATTATATTAACAAATGCTGAATAATCACTTTCCTGCTTGTTTCTGTTTTGGCAAAAATATAAATATTTGCCCTGTCTTATATTTATGTTATTATATTATAGTATCTGCTTGGCTATAAATTGTAAGATTGTTAGTCTTTGATTAATAATTTTTAATCGTATCTAGAATGAAGAATACGAAGAATGTTATTTAAAGTTATTTAAACAACCAATACTATTTAATGGAACACTTAAAAATTACCAGAAAGAGGGTCTTTTATGGATAAGAGTATGTATTTTAATTTATATACTAGTTTAGTTTTTGATTGGAATAAAATAAGTAAAGAATCATATCATTGAAACTAGAGTTGAAAACATTCTAATATGTTGAATTTTTTTAATTTAAATTCTTTATATTTTATGCCAGCATTAATTGTATACAAATAAGGAATATTTAAATATTACACTATTTATATGTATAACTTGGATATTCTAATGTAGACGTTGTTTGAAAATGGTTTAAATGGTATCTTAGCTGATGATATGGGGCTTGGTAAAACTATTCAAGCTATTGCTTTCTTGTGTTTCCTTTCGGAAATGGGAATAAGTGGACCATTACTTGTAATTGCTCCGCTGTCTACAATTCCCAATTGGTTATCTGAATTCTCTAAATTTGCTCCTCAAGTAAATATTTTAATAGAATTTTAACTAATCAATTTAATGATAGGTACTTACTTATATCTGATTATTATTGTCTTAGTTGAAGACTTTGTTATACCATGGTAAAGATACTCAACGCTCTGATATTAGATCACAATTTAATACAAATTATAAAGTGGGAAATTTAAACTGTACATGTATTGTGATTACAACTTATGAAATTTTGCGTTCGGACATACAATTCTTAAAGAAATATCATTGGAAGTATATTACAATTGATGAAGGTCATAAGCTGAAAAACTCTCTAACCTTAACAAACAAGTATGCATAATATATTTTGTTAAGATAATTAATGATTAAATCAACATTTAATACCAAAAAAAAATATGCAGATGCCTACGAGAATTTGATTGTGCAAATAAACTCATACTTACTGGGACACCAATTCAGAATAATATGAATGAACTATGGACTTTATTAAATGTATTGATGCCACAATTATTTAATGATGTAAAAGATTTTAGCTCATGGTTTGTGATAGATGACTTTTATGGTACAAATGACAGGATTATTAATATAGCTACAAAAGATGAAATATTGGATATCATAGTAAAAGTAAATCAAATTTATTTTATTTATTTTTTGAACTTTTATATTATGCAATGTACACATAATATACCTTTAAATAAAATCCACATTCCTAATACTGTTTTTGCTATTTTTAATGATTAAAAAAAAAATTAACCACAAATTATTAAGTTAACATTGTTCAATTATTCTCATTATTATTTAGATATTTTGATTTTAGAGCTAGTTCACGGATATTTATTAAGGTTGGATCACGGTACGTTATCACACCTTGAAGTGTGAACTAAAAGTGCTAGTAGTAGTTTACAAAATGTAATATTGCCATTAACGAGTTAAAATATGTATGTTTTATATTAAAATTGTTTGTACTTCTTTGGTAATACCTAATAATTTAAATAAAATAATAATTTTGTTTATTGTAACATCAATAACTTTAACAATAATATTCATAAATAGGAATCACTTCAATACGTAATTCAAAACAATAGATTTTGTATTAGTTTTTATTCTATTATATATACAGTGAAACCTCAATAATTCGAATCGGCTGGGGGCAAAAAAAAAATTGTGTGTACTTATTGAAATATAGGGACAAAGATGTTTCATTGAGTCATCAAAAATTCAACTTATAAAAGTTCGAGTCATCGAAGTATAACTGTATATAAGTAATATGTAGATTTTCTCTTTTTTAAATACCTTATTATAGTTATAGAAAATTAAAAGTTCTTTTAATCTATAAAAAATATGATTCCTTATTAAAATTAACTTATTTATTTTATTACAATACAGTTGTTTATAAATATTAAATAAAAAAAAAACGTATTTTGTCCTATTATTTATATATTAAAATCGGGCCGTCAACTACTAGCTCTTTAAGCTCACTAGTTACACTGCTTTGACATGGCTATGTATGTGGAACATAGTAACGAGCTCCAACATAAGTAGATAACCGTAAGCTAGTTAGAACCAATAACAGAAGATAAAATATAATAATTCATAATTCCTTATTACTAGTGTATATAATTATATTTTACATATGAAAAAATAAATATGTTATCATTTAAGTTTGACACTAGGTAAATTAACTTTGATATTATTTAAAACAATAATGTTATGTTGGAAGTTTATTTAGTATGTTATTTGTATATCCAAGAAACACAAAGTATAACAAATAAATACCAACTATAGAGATTCTATATTATACTTTTGTTTATAGATACTAAAACCTTTTATTTTGAGAAGGCAAAAAACAGAAACTGATCTAAACCTACCACCAAAGAAAGAAATTGTTATTTATGCTCCCATCACAGAACTGCAACACAAATTGTACAAGGCTACATTGTCCAAGGAAATGAATACATTGTTAAATAAAGAACTGGTAATTTTGTTTTAGCTATGTACCAAAAAATATTACACATTTGTTTCAAAAGATCAAATTAATTTATAAAATAATTTATATTGCAAGTTAAACTAAGAACAATATTATTGTAAGTCAAATGGTAACTTTGACTTATGCTACTTTTTTTTTATAAAATATCCCTTATAATTTTGACAAAAAATAAAATTATGTGGTATTTGTGAATTAAATGTAAATAGAATTATATCTAACAATAATATTTTGCTTTATATGCTATATTTTTAAAGTTAAAAAAATTGTTTAAATGTTTTACATAGTCTGTTCAAAATAAGAACATTAGTCGACGGCTACGAGTTTTCGTCGGGCAGCGGTCAGACGCCGTCTCCACTACAGAGACGCGTCGGGCGCTGCCATGGAACAAAGCCACGGCCATGCGCAGAACTCGGCCGCCAACTACTGTTCTTATTTTGAACAGAGTATATATAATTGTTTTAGCAGAGTTTTTTCCTTAAATACCGGGAATTTTGTTCTGTGACCCTTTAATATAATGATGTCTTATTTAAAATAATTAAATATGTGTATTTCTTAATGCAATTAATGTTTCCAAATTTTTTCTGCTAATAAAAAAAATCTCATTCAATCCCATTAAGTGATTAACTTAATTATTTACCTTAAATGCTAATAACACAGTAGTTATATATTAATTCAAATTTGAAGTTATTGAGTTTATTTTTAGGAAACACAGAGTGAGCTTGAAGTATTGCCTAAAAGAAAATGTGTACAATCTATTGAAAGGTATACTGAGACTAGGGCCATAAGAAAAACTGAACCAATACAAAAGTAAGTATTAAGTATATTTAAATTTTAAACCGATTATAAACTGTTAAAATATGGTTCTACTGCATTTTTGTGAAAATAGTTAATCTATAACTCATTTTTCTCCTTATTTTAAGGTTCTTTTTTTTCAATTATTACTGTAAAATTTATGTAGTAAGAGTCATAAACATAATATAATCCTTGTTAAATTTTCTTACAACAAAGTTAAAATAATGAAAAAAATTGTTATAATGATTTTAATGCCTCAATAAAATAGTTTCATTTTATATTAAAAGAATAACACTTGTCAAATATTAACCTACCTAACATAATATAATTTAATTATTATTTATTATACAATATAAAAATTAATGATATAATTTATGAATTTTAGAGTTGAGCCAAAAGATATGGCTGTCTCATTAGTTTTCCTAAATCCATTTATTCAATTAAAGAAAATATCTAATCATCCATACCTTGTTCATATGCCTTTAATTCCGGGCGAAAAAAAAATACTTGTTGATGAAAATATTGTTAATGCTAGTGGAAAATTTCTAATATTGGATGCGATGTTATCAAAATTAAAATTGCTCGGACATAAGGTAATGTACAAATCATTAATTAAAAATTATAGTTGATGATTATATTGATTATGAATCCTTCATTTTTACTTAACATTTGATTTAAGAGGAAATGTTTTAATGTTTATGTTGCAGTCTTACCACACAATTTGACATTTATTAATATTATACATATTTTTTTTCTTATTCATACTATAGTTATCAAGAATATTTTAATAGTTTTTAACTTAAGCAACTCACTCTGCTCCTCTTCTTTGCCATGATTATAAATAGCTATGCCTCTACCAAAATAGTATATTGTGTGGAAAGGGCGGGTAAGAAGTGAGTTATTGTAGTGGAGGGCAATGCTTTCGTCAACAATTTGTTAGGCTTAACGATTTTTTTGGCATAGCGTTTATTTCATTATACCGGTTTTTGCTTAACACGTTCACTGCGTACTGACGCCAATTGGCGTCATAAGTATCATTCAGCAACGCGTTTGACGCCATATGGCGTCTAATATACATTTAAAATAAATGGTTTAAAATTCCCTACGCGTGGCTGAATGTTATTTTATTATTATTTAGCGTGGATTAAATGCATGTTTTTAAATATGTATACATACTTCATTATGAGCAGTTTCTTTATATTTTTTTTTTAATTTCTTTTGTTTTTACTTTTATCATACGCACTGGGTGAAAACTGCAAAAAGACATACGCAGTCAACGTGTTAAATACCGCTTTTAACGGTATACCACAAACCGTTAAATACCGGTACCAAATCTAATACCGCAAAACCAATTTCCTATTTCAATATACTGTCAACCCTACAATTTGCCCAAGAATGACAATGTCTTCTCGCACGAGCCGCAGAGTATTCTATTTTTTGTCACACATCTGCCGCTTCTGAAAATATCTACATATTATGGTAATACATAATGTGAAACTGTTTTATGTTGAACGGCACAGAAATTGGAAATATATAACAATTACTGTCGGGTAGACGGAATAAAGGTTATTTTTCAATGTTGCAGCCAGAATAAAACATAAAACTTATAGTGCAGGCATAGCAAAATACTGATTTTTAAAATATAGATATTAGTCAATTTTTTATGTCATAGTTTATGTCTGAAATTCTTCTATCTGAATTCAGCATAAATTAACATTGAGCATTTAACATACCAACAATTAAGAACTAATAGCTTAATGTGTGATTAATTTATAGGTGTTGCTGTTTTCTACAATGACACAGTTATTAGATCTAATTGAAGAGTTTTTGATCTTTCGTTCCTATCAATACACTAGATTAGATGGTACAATGGACATTGCTGATAGAGTGGTAGCAATTACTACATTCACCAATGATCCCGATTGTTTTTTGATGTTAATATCAACGCGTGCTGGTGGACTCGGTTTGAATTTGACTGCAGCAGATACTGTTATCATATTTGACAGTGACTGGGTATAGTTAATTTCTAAAATCATGTGAATGCATAAATAGTATTGTAATATGTACTGTTGTATTTTATACTACTTTTTGATAAAGATCTTCCTTAAAACTTTTATTCATTAGTCAATTTTAGTTAACAAAATATTATATTATGTTTTAACTTGATCAAACATGAGTCCCAACATTTTGTCTGTCCATCAGTTATTTAAATCTTTCTGATCCAACAGGTACAATTTTCTTTTATCTATGTTTTATACATTTTTCTTTATTTTCTTTTTACAATACATTTTTTCTTTACACTGTGGTGTTAAAGTAGAGTAGCATATATTATGTAGAAAATATGAAATTATTATATATTTGTGTAATGTATCAGAATCCACAATGTGATTTACAAGCCCAAGATCGGTGTCATAGAATTGGCCAAGTAAAACCAGTTGCTGTTTACCGTTTATGTACTAAAAGCACAGTTGATGAAAAGATATTAGCACACGCTGCTGCTAAGAGAAAACTTGAAAAAATTGTCATTGGGAACGGTAAATTTGTAATAGAAAATTAATAACCTATTTTATAAGTGGGTCATAATATAATTTAATTTAAACAATTTTTTTCAACGTGTTCTAATTATACTTTTTCAATTATAATAATTTAATCTGCACCTTAACTGTATCTGTTTACAAATTTAATTGATGTACTTTTAACATAATTTAAAATGTTATAAATTGTAGGTACATTTAATAGAAGCACAAAAATCAACTTATCCAATATAAAGGAACTGATGAGTTTGTTAGAATCGTCTGATTATGATCAACAAATACAGTCTAATGGATTTAGTAAGTAGTTTAATCAGTGGTTGGCCAACTATTTTCTAATCATAATTAAAATGTTTGTAGTATTGTCGGATGAAGAATTGGACTCACTTTTAGACCGATCCGATATGGTTAATTCAAAACCAAAGGCAAATCGTACTCAGTCCGCCAAACATTTCGAAGTATTGACCTAAATGATAGATTATTTTGTTTTTCTCAAAGCAGTACATAGTTGTTTATTTTGATAAATGTATAGAAGAGATTTAAGATTTCATGTGTTATAAAGGAAATTTATTATTTCAATTTTATTTTTCAAATTTTATGTACTTATTTAAATTATTCATTAAGATATTTAAAATTTACTATACATTTACATTATTATACATTTCATATTATTTTTTTTCATATTTCATATTAATATTTAATTGTATTGAGTTATTCCTTTTTTTTATGACAATTCACAAATTTACTATACAATGCAATAAAAATGTCTTTTTCAATAAGAATTTTACATTTCTTTATTTACTGTTTATTTTATAATGTGAATTTTATATTAATACTCGATAAAGTATTAATATATTATATAAGGTAGTTTAAAATGCTTTGAATATTTAAATTTTTTATATTACCTAGAGCACTCAAATAAAGATTAAAATATCATGTTCAAAATTGTATTTTTCGGTTTTACTTGGTCTTATCAACATAATCATAAGGAGATTATGTATCTTTAATCCTTCTTGCCATTTCTATAGCTTTGAGTAATGATTCTATAATGAGTTTCATATTAAAAATATGTTGTTAAAGGTAAAGTAGCTTATTATAATACACACTTATTATCAACTTAGTGATATATCTGTATAAAAGTATTAACTATTAAAACAGCTAGGTATTTAATTTAAATCAGACTAGAAAATCTAGAGTTAATATTTAATAGTATAATCCACTAAAATATAAATAAAACACAATATTCTAAAACAACTTGAAATTTTGACTAATTTCTATTATTGAAAGTAATAAATATCCACTAGGCTAAAAAAATAAAATATAATTGCTAAAATAATAGAGATTAACAAATATATTATTTTTGTATTAAATTATGAATTTATTTAATGCTCACTAGGAAAGATTATAAAGTAATATTTGCTCACACTTATAATGTATAGTGAAACCTCTGAATAGCGGACACTCTCACTCGCCGAAATTTTGTCCGCTATTTAGAGGTGTCCCCTATTTAGAGGGAAACATATTTTTTAATAAATAAATAAATAAATTCAATAATTTTATTTTATATTATTTTTACATTAATTAAATACATGATAAAACTAACATTTATGAAAAAAACCAGTTACCTAAATTTTTATTTTATTTTTACATTAATTCATAAGATGTTAAATATATCTTAAAACTAACACAGGAAGATTTTTTTCTCGTAATTTTGAAAACCAGTTTGATACTTCATTGTCGATTACAGACGTTTCTGTTTTTTGTAGCTTTGTCCATTTCCGTTTCTCTTCTCCATTTTCAGCCCGAGTTTTGTAAAGAGCGTCTTCATTTGCTATAATATTCGCAATTTGTGTTTTACTAACACTAAATTTGTCTGCTAATGCGCGAAAGCCCATATTTGGATTTGATGTTTGAAATTCCAGAATGTCTATTTTTCTTTTAGAGTTAATCGTTTTCTTTTGCTGGCCATAGCGCACTACAATAAACGTTGGCATCACAAACACAACTAAACGCACATAGAACAATGCATTAGTTATAATACTTCGTTGACGCGATAATATTTCAATGACTGAACGGATAAGATAAGATTTTAGTAGTGACAGATTACTTACCTATACGTATAATAATGTACACACAATAGATAGGTAACTTAAAAATTGAGGTTTTTATATAAAATTATTAATAGCAAAGACATAAAAGTGTCCTGTATTTAGAGGTTTTCCTATACATAAATAGTGAAAATTTCTCCTTCCCCGAAAAAACGTTCGCTATTTGGAAGTGTCCCCTATTTAGAGGTGTCTGTTAAGGGAGGTTTCGCTGTATATATATATAAATAATAGTTTTGCCCAACAAGCTAAATTAATATAAACAATTTAAATATTTACTAAACTGTGTACTTAAAAAAATATTATCAAATAAGCTTATTGTTCGACTTTTCTAACATATTATATCCTAATAATAATACAAATGTTATAATATTCTTTTAAAGAAGTAATATGTTAAAGAACATTTACCAGTTTAGTAAAAATTAGAAATAAAAAAAAAAGCGGCCAAATGCGAGTCGGACTCGAACATGAAGGGTTCCATTGCAGCAAGTAACGTAAAGAATAAGTGGTTTCATTCGGCAGGGCACGAACTTCGGCCCTATCACCAGGTCCAGCAGAAGTCTTATACCAAGTCTCAGTCCATTATGGCATTATAGCCCATCTTAGCCCTTGATTGAGATTACATTTTTAAAATATATATATGACAAAATAGATTTATATTATATTATATATTATTTATTACTATTATTATTATTTACTAAAAAAAATGTACTTACTACATCTCGTACAAACCAATTTTCGGTGGAAGTATGCATGGTAATGCACATCATATATTTTTTTTTAGTTTTATCATTCTCTTATTTTAGAAGTTATAGGGGGGGGGCACACATTTTACCACTTTGGAAGTGTCTCGCGCTAACTATTCAGTTTACATAAAATGATATAAGATATCTTAATATAATTTTTGAAGACCTATCCATAGATACCCCACACGTATGGGTTGGACGAAAAAATTTTTTTGAGTTTCAGTTCTAATTATGGGCAACCCCTAAAATTTATTTGTTTTTCTATTTTTGTGTGAAAATTTTAACTGTGGTTCATAGAATACATCTACTTACACCAAGTTTCAACAGTATAGCTCTCATAGTTTCGGAGAAAAGTGGCTGTTTTTATGTTTTATATTTTTTGGTTATTGAATAACCTACTTATGTCAAACTTTATTTTTAATTTTCAATCCTATTGCTACACAATTTTGTAATTTTATACATTTTTAACTACAAAATAATTTATACATTTTCAATTGGATATGTCAACATTTGAACACCAAAAGCTTATAAAATAAAGCATCTTGTATATTTATCTATATATATATATATACATAAAAATAAGTGTACATTTTGAATAAATTTTGTAACTCAACATCCACCAAACCGATTTCAATAAAATTTTCAGGGCATATTAATATTGATATGTAGATAGTTTCTATGAAGTTTGTACGCTGTGCGATAAATGGTTCCTGAGTTATGGTCTCTTAAGTGCACACCTGGCGACATGGCCAAAAAAAAAAAATAATAATAAGCAGTGTATTATATTTTGGTTGCTATTTGTTAATCGGGCATGTTTGTTGATTTTTATTATTATTTTTTGTCTATATATACATAAAATTCAATGTTTGTGTGTAGATTAGACCTCTGGCAAGAAGATTGGCTAATTTAAAAATGGTTAAATTAGGTTTTTTTATTCATCTGATTTTAGTACGGTTAGGATTTTGTATTACCTAATTGATTATATTAATCCATCATAGGTAAGATACTAAAAACTTGGTATAACTTTGATGAACGTACTAATGAACGGGGTCCGCGATCTACCGCAAGTAGATTGCCTACCTGATAATGTACTGCAGCGAATCAGAATTTTCATTCCGGGCAACGAAAAAGTTAAGATTAATTTTGAAACCATACACCGAATATTAAATAACGAATTGAACAAAGTTTGAGTCGCATAGAGTTGGTACACTTAATGGGCTACGAAGTGCACGGGTTCATAAAGTCCACAAACAACGTAGTCAGTAAACATATAATAAATTAAATGCATCACAAAATACTTAACAATTCTTATTTAATCTATGGCATTTGCAATCAGAGGTTTTAAAATTCATAGAAAAGCAATAATTTTCTGTTATATTCTTGACATTTTTCATTAATTTTGTGACATTTCAAATTGAATCCTATTCACACTTTTTATAAGTTCTATGACATTTCCCTAGACAATTATTAAGTTTCATTAGTTTTTTTTTAAATTATTGTGAATAAAATATTTTACACTCTGTCAAAAATCTTGAAAATGAAATACAACGTTGCTCATAAGTTTTTGTTAGTGGAAATTTAAAAAAAATTGAGCGTCAATCCACAATTATTTTTTATGAGCGTCTGAGCGTTTGAAGTTAGACATCATAATATTATGTACGTAAATTAAAAAATTTGTATTCAAAGATTTTGTTATTTTGTTGTTATTCAAAAACTAGTAACCGTAGATACTTGAAATTTCCCCCAAATGTTTATTATATCATTTCCTATTATACTTGATAAATGATAACATTTTCAAAATATTTTGACTCAAAGTTTTTGAAGATATTTTAATTTTTTAGTTTTTACTCTATTAATGTCGATACAATATGAAAAATGTAAAAAATATTAAAAATAAATAATAATAAAAATGTAATATAAAATATACTATAGGCTCACAAACCATCTCCGATTAGCGTTCAATTTTTGACAAAAATCATCGAAATTCAAAAATTTGAAAATTATTTTAAAATTTTATAATTTTATAATCACAAAATTACATTTACTACTTACTATTCATAGAATTTGAGTAAAAATGAATTAAAAATATAGTGTATAAAAATAAATACCTATACCTTTTTTTTCAGTTCTATTGTTAAATAAATAATATTGATGCGCAAATGATGTAGGTAGGTAGGTACAACTTTTTTTCCCATTAACATTATTTTATATTATAATGCAATGATTATAGGTACCTTTAGATGTTAAGTATATAATAACCATCAAATAATTTTATTTTCTAATAAAATATATTTTTAACATTGATTACCAATTGGCAATTAATACGTTTATTACAATTATTGTAACATTTATACCATTTATACCATTTGTACAACATTGTACCTGTATATAAATATATATATGTTTCCGAGATTAATTGGATAATTTTAAGATGTGTTACGAGAATACCGTAGAGATGTATAGTATATGAAACGTATTGCACCTATCTATATATTGACATATTACATCCCTAAATTCCTTAATTTATCAAATTGTTGTAAAATATTTAGGTACTTAATAAAATAATAAATAATTGTCAATAATAATTTCTTCTAATCTTAGAAAAATAGCTAAATACCTTTCGATATAATAATAACATACTTTATACTTTTCACGAGGAGCTTTTATAGTTTCAGAACTTTTGAAACATTCCCCGTTTGAAAAGGGGTTTCTGTTTCAAAGAACTTAAATTATGGTTCATGATTTACATAGTGAATGTGTATATAGTATTTACTGTGACACTTTATAACAACAGTTATCCACCTACCGACGAGAAAATAAAATAAATAAAAATTATTGTTATGCATTTTATTATTTTCTGAGTACCTACTTATTTTTTCTGATTGATTTCAAATGTCAAGTTACAATGACTTCAGTGAGATCGATTATGAACTACTGGATGAACAGTGGTGGGAGAAAGAACAGGAAGAACTACAGTTGGCATTAGAATCAGATGAATACCGGATTTCTCCTGATTTGGAGTCTTATGAAACTATTATAGAAAGTGATTATGCTAATGACGAAGAACATATCAAGCTAGCTATCGAACGCCTAGAAAACCTGAGGATCGAATTGCAAAACCTCAAACACCGCAAAACTAGAGTGTTTAACACCCTGACCGAACAGATCGAAAAGAAATTGGTTAGTAGCAGACCATGTAGTACCTTCCTATCGGTAGTTTTTATTTTCTTGATATATTTTTATACTAATAAAAGTTAATTTTTTTCCCAATTTTCTAGAAAAGTACTGTTAATCATTTTCTATATTTGAATTAGATAAATATACTAAATATTTTTGAAATTAAAAATTTTATTAAATTCAAATAATGAGAAATAGACTATTAAATTATACTATAGTTATATATTTTCTATTCATGATGTAATGGATATTCGACCTCCGTATACAATTACCTACTATTCAAATAAAGAACTTTTTCACTAATAAGTTACAACGTCTGCGTACCTAGTTCTACTTTAACTGTTTCTTGCAATTTTTTACATTGTAGATTCGTTATAATCAAATAAAATGCATGTTATAAGACATAAGTATAGATAATAATATATTGTATACTTATTCTAATAATAATTATGGTATATTGTTAATAGTGTGAATCTGATGTACCGATTAGATATGGAACAAAAGAGGAAGTTAAACTACACTATGAAAAGTTATTGATGGAATTCAAAAATAAAAAAGAAGCGGCACTCAAACGAAAACATGATTTAAACGAAATGTTAGCTTTAAAAACTGAATACTTGGAATATAAACGCAAAGAATGTGCAGAAATCACCGAAAACCAGTATAACTTAGAATTAAAAACCGCCGTTGGCATGATATTTGACAAGACACAGCAAAAACTTACTCACGACGTAACTTTAATGATTTAAAATTTGTTTTATTTTTAAATCTACAGCTTTTAATACAATTATCGCATCTAACCAATTATAATCTTAAATTTCTCGTAGGGAAATCTGATGTCAAACCTGAATATTCAAAATAAAGTATAAACAAAAGTAAATGTGGCCACGCATCACTTTTACTCCAAGCACCAAATATCATAATTATTAATTATTCCAACCTAACTAAACACAAAATATCTTGAAGGTATTTTGAAAAAAAACTAAACTAGGCCTACCATTTTCATAACTCCAAACACAAGTTAAACACCATATCTTTAGATGTTTCCTTAATGCGAAATCAAAACTTTCACTCCTTACTATCCACTGTTCAAAATAAGAACAGTAGTCGGCGGCCGAGTTTTGAGCATGACCGTGGCTTTATTCCGTGGCAGCGCCCGACCCGTCGCCGTAGTGCGGACGTAGTATAAACTAAATCTTTACAAAACCCATCCGAAACAAATTTGGATGTACAAACTCCAATGGGTTCTGAACAAACCTAAACAAAGTAAAAATAAGCAAAAACAAAATATTTTGTCTAACAAAAAAGTCGCCTTCTATGGTGTAATCTAATCAACCACAACATTCATACTTTTTTGTTTTTAGTATTTATAATATATAATATGAAATATACAATATATACAATTATGCACAGTAAGTATATGTGAGATTGAGGATAAAAACATTATTGTGGTTGAGTTGTACGCACATGTGTCGCACTATATACCACCTACATTGATCAGAGCAGCTTCGCGTGGCCGCTGAAATTAATACCATATCTATCAGTATAAGGTCTATGTTAGAGTGGTGTAATTTAATCGAGTTACCAAAGGTCACCGTCACTGCGATGTCTTGTGGTGAGATATTATAATATAAACATGCACTACGATACGAACTTAAGAACTTAAATTGTCTTTTCACAAAACAAGGTTGGAGTAAATAGCTAGTAGACACTGTGATCTGGAACGGCTTTAAAACTTTGTCGATTGATATAAGTTACGAAAAATCCCGATGTGTATAACTTACTCTAACTGAAACATAACCCAGAGGCAAACAAATTGTGTGTATAGAGTAAAAAAAAATACAGCGCTAGAAACTGTTATTAAATCCTACTTGTGTTACCAAAACTCACTCTCCGACCATCCAAATACACTAGTAAAAAATCTAACCAAAACCAATGTCCTGTAACCCACACAAAATATTTTTCAAAAAATGTTGGCGTGCGTAACCTACCTACTCCATAAACTTTAACTTTAAGTCGTCAGAGTGGCTTCTCCAATAAAGCCTTTCTGCTAACCCTTTTTCTTTCTTTATTATTTAAGCTTATTTTACAACATATGTATAGATTGTTTAATTATAAATAAAAGTTTATGAAAAAGTCTACAGAATTTGATAAATGCATTTTTTCACATGTTGTCAGAAAAATAATTTTATTTGGTAGAATATCAGATATACCTATGTGTTGTAACGTAAATCAAAAATGTACTTAACTTGTTTTATATAATTACAGGATGTAGAAGAATTGATTGAAACCTGTAAACGGCAGGATGTCCAATTAAATAAAGCCCGCTTGAAATTTATTGCACAGAAACAAAAATGTAAAAAGATAAAAACAGATATTGAAAATTTGGCACCAAGCACGTTCAGCATAATTGAATACCAGGAACTATCAGATCATAATGTAGAGATTATAAATTCTATGGGATCTCAGTAAGTAATTTTCTTTTCTATAACTTTACTTTAAGTGGCCGATTTAACTGAGCAAATATGGACATTCGCTGGTTGAGCCTTTGGTAGTTTGTTCCCGAGGGCCCTCACAATTGTTTTAAAAACGGAACGGAAAATGATTCCATCTAATAATTCCAGGAATGAAGATCAGTGGCGCATTTACGGTGAGGAGGATTTGGGGGGAGAGATCTCTTTTGACTTTTTGAAGTTAAACTTCTTTACGCAGGGTAGTGAGGAAAAAAAAAGCGAACGGGCGGCCGTACGAATGGGCGGCGCCAGTGCTGCCAGACTCTCAAACTAATATTATCGTAAAGTATTTAAATAGTTATCGTTTTTCAAAAAAAATTATCGTACACCAAAAATTGTTTTGCTTCAGTGCCCAGATTATAATACCCTGTATAGTATATAATATTATATTGCATATACCAAGTGTGCATTCGATATTGTTGCCACACTGTCAACATTTTAGACTCGCATTACAACTCACCGATGTTTCGACCAGTACCTACGAATTCTATATTATAATATTATTACTATGATCACGTATATCGCATCTGTATATTATGTTATCTTGTGCCACTATTAATGGACTCCAAATACAAGCCACGCGTTATAAATCATCCCTTACAACAATCGTATTATAATCGTTATCAGACGACAGTGGACTAGCTATCTAAACAGCGTCTCTCTGAACAGCGGATTCAATTATCATAATTTGGTATTGCTACTTCTTCGACTCCCATAACGCGTTGGGTAGCATACCACAACACGCGTATATACCATGCTCCTCGTACAGTATATATATATATATATACCATACACATATGTTATCGTGACCTATTTGTATATAAATAAATAAATAAATACATAAATAAATAAATAAATACACATGCCGGCGTTCGTTGACATTTGATCGAGTTGTTTGATTCCTTACCATGTGATTAGCCGGAAACGATTTAAATAATAATAGTGTGTGTAATGAATAGTTTTTAATACATTTGTAGAATATTGTACTGACGTTCAAAATGTTTGTTAGTTCGCAGTTCGTTATTATTAATTAATCCAAAAAATGAAAGTAAGTTAGCCATATCGATAGATAACCGTTTGTAGTATTGTTTTTATCCAGAAAAAAGATTTGTGAGTGAATTTATTAATAATATCAAATAAAAAAAAAAAATTAAGAGGTACAAGCGTTGCGAGGTAAATGGTGGTCGTGAGCCGCGTTAGTTACGTGACTTTTTTTTGCTACGGAATAAATATTATATAAACGTTGCAAAATAAAAAACAGATTCATCTATCTTGGCCCATACTAATTAATATGAATAATTAATAATCGATTATTATAGCATCTATACTCAGAGACCAATATCAGTTAGCATCTAGTATATTTAATTAATTGTTATTAATTGATTAATTCACTCACAAACCTTTTACCTGGATAAAAACAATGCTACAAACAATTATCCATCAATCTGTCGAATAAAAATAAAAAATAATAAAAGCATCAATAATAAATAATTCCGGATAACTTCCTCTCATTTTTTAAATTAATTAATATTAACTCACGTGTAGAGTTCAAAAGAAGTTTCACTTCCCACGCGCGTACTGATAACACACACACACACAATTTTTTTTTTTTGTAGTTTAGATTTCTGCAACTCTTAATATGAATAATAAATATGGTACCTATTACTATAAGTACGTACCTCTTTCCGTTTTATAAATATTCACATCACGATACCCAGTAATTGTATAGATAGGAAAGTCTGACTCTTCCCACTAATCGTTGGTCGATATATATATATATATATGTATATATATATCTACTATCCAACAGCAATTAACTTTGCTTGTATTTTGTATTATTTTTCATGCTGGAATAGTAATAACTAATAACAAATAATTATCCTGATAACCAGCCAGCACGATTTAAGATATTATATTTATGTATTATATTAAATTGTGGCAGGTGGTAAAAAAAATAAATCGAAGATTAAACCCATACGTTTATTTTTTGGAAATTTGTTATTGGTACCTATACGATAACATTGGATATTGTGTTCAATACAGTATCCAAAAATGTTCATTATCTGTTCGGCAACCAGAGTTCTGACGTTCTGCAACATTCTTCGACGTTGTTATTACTTAGGTATATTTTGTTCGTTTTAGTTATACAGTAAAACTGTAAAACTTACTTGTAACGAGATCCCACTGATCCATTTTAGATAAAAAATTTCCTTACAATGGAATTTAACAACAGTCACGTACCTACGTATAACCTATATTCAGTATATTTTAGTATCCTTATAATCTAATTTATAACTAAAAAATCAGTTTATACCGCGGTGGTACCGAGTTATTTCGTTATTAGGAGGTTTTACTGTATTTTTTTTATATTTTGATTATTTGTGTCACATTTTTACGTTATTACGTAAACTGAAAAAATACTAAATGGGGGGGGGGGTTTGAACACCCAAAACCCCCCCGTGTGTACGCCACTGGTTAGGGGAATTAAAAAAAAAATATGTAGGTAGCTATCCTACTAATATTATAAACGCGAACGTTTGTAAGTATGTTTGTTACTCTTTCACGTAAAAACTACTGAATGGATTTTAATGAAACTTTACAATAACATAGCTTATATATCAGAATATCACATAGACTACAAATCATCACTTTTGAACCAACCAAGGTATGTGCTCAAGTGGGGATTTAGAGATTTATGGTGGAAATTTTTGCTTATAAATGGTCGCCATGGGTTTTAAAGCTATTATAATAATAATTATTGGTTGCAGTAAAATCAGTGTATTCATCCAATGCATTTAATTTTTTTGTACGCTATGTTTTGATATTATATGTATCGCAATAGCTTACATCAATATATTATACTCACATATTATAAGTTACGTACATAAAATAATGCCACGTCTTCACAGACTCGGCATTCACAATTAGTCCAGGCGTTTAGACTTTGGGAGGAGTTCAGTGACATACTTGGTATAACTTTGATACTTTATAGTTAAATTATAAAGTTACGTACAAACAGCATGGGGTCCACGATCTACCGCAGGTAGAGTGACTACCTGATAATATACTGCTGGGAATCAGAATTTTTACTCCAGGCAACAGAAAAGTTAAGATAAATGTTGAACACCCTACATCGAATATTAAATAACGAATTGAACAAAGTTTGAGTCATATATAGTTGGTACATTTAACGGGAAACGAAGTGCACGGGATCAGCTAGTATAATATATTTATAATATATTTATATTGGACGAAGGAAACCAATGGTTTTAACACCCGTCTATAGGTACTATGTTCGCTGTAAGTTGACCCACTTTTTTTTTTGCGTTCATGGAGTATGGTGAAAACGTTGTGACAACACAGTTCATTGCGTATACACCATGGTGTTCCGCTAAGTTAAACTGTAGAACTACAATGAAGGAGATTCGATTTTCTGTTTTTGTCCAACACACGCGTGACATAGTATTTTAGCCTTATTTTTTGCCAAACTTACCAATTGATCTAACAAAGCGACAAGAATTCTGAAAACAGATTTGAATTTTTCGTCAAGTCTACCTGAAATTGACTTTCAAACATTTTTGATATTATCCCCCCAAATTCCTAAAAGTGTCATATTAAAAAAGAGTATTAAAAAATTGTTATATTTCAATTTTCAGAGAAGTTAAAATCAAAAATGTGGGGAAGTCGATTTCAAGTAGACTTGACGACAAATTAAAATCTGTTTTTAGAATTCTTATCGCTTCATTACATCAATTGGTATGTTTGGCAAAAACACGTTTCATGTATTATGTCGCTAGTGTGTTGGACAAAAACAGAAAATCACGGTATCGAATCCCCCTGTATTGTCACAACGTTTTCGCCGCACTCCGTCTGCGCAAAAAAAGTGGGTCAACTTACGACTAATAGAGTATATTTATACGAATAGTATAGTTATAATATTAGCATTTTCTTAATTCGTTTACTTGAATGAATTTTAGCAAAACCTATGACCTGCTGTAGAATGATGTGAATTGATTCGTGGTTAGTATATAAATGTAAAAATTTGAAATTACATTATATAATATATTAAAAAGTCAAATATTTAATGGTGAAAAGTTTCAAGTTTATTCGTTTATTTTTTATTTCAAGGATAGGTATCAAAACCCAAACTCTTGAAGTTCTTAAATCTGCATTATCAAAATTTCCTGATATTAACAAAAGGCTTATCGGTTTAAAAGAAGAAAAGGATAAAAATGAGGCTGAGTTAAAACAAATCAAAGATGTAAGTTTCTTAAAAAAAAATAATATGTTGTATATTAGTTTAATATTTAATAAGATAACTTGTCTTTAAATATAATAAACAAATTTAGTGATAAATTAAAAAAACCCTGATCCAAATCAAATTATTTTCGAATAAAGAAATAAAGGGAGCAAATCTAATATTATATTATTATGTTGATTATTTGGTTAATTTGTATATAACGATAAAATTTTCAAGTTATAGGTAGTGTATTTAATAGTGTTTGTAAAATTATGTTATTTCATATTATGCTATTTTGTAATTGGTAGTATAACGATACTTGTATGAAAGTTAGCATGTAAAAAGTTCAAAATCGTTTTATTCAAAAAGATACGATGACAGATATGGACCTTTCGCAATCGTGTTCTACCCCTCTATATACTTCCGAAAAGAACTTAACTTTTGAAATATTTAGGTATATTAACTCTATAAAATGGCCACCTTAAACTTTTAAGAAAAACAAGTCTTAATTTTTTTTTTTTTTGACAGTTAGGTCAAACCTATACCCTACCTCGTACCTAACCCTATTGGCTATTAATACCTAATCCATGATAAAATATTATGACTGTGGATTTCTAATATTTACCTAGCATAATTTTTCAAAAATTATATTTTTACAAGAAATAGAAACAAGTTACAGACTGAAATAGTTGCTTCTATGTAGCATATAAGTGATATATTAAATATTTACATTATTGTTATTTTTATTTATTTTTAAGAAGTTAAAGACAAAATAAACGTAACATTTTCGTATGGGCACGGGGCACCCATTGTTATAATATCTAGAAATATATAATACTATATAAGATATATATATATAGAACCATACACACTAAAAGGTTTTTCAGTAACATATTATTCTATATATATACCAATACAGGAATGGAGACAACATGTCAAAGCAAAGGCACGTGACCAGAAGCATGACCGTCGATTAAAAAAAGGACGTATATCAGATTATTTTACTGAAAATCCTCTACTTTTGAATGATTATCTCGAGAGTATGAAAAAAGACAAAATATTTAAAAAGAATTTGGCCGACTTACGTCAGGAGTTGTCCGAAATAAAGCTAATAAAAAAACAGCTAGAATAATGTAGAAAAACCAAGTTGAGTCTCTAAAACAAATAAATATTTATATTCATATAGATAATGTTGTATGTTTAAACGTGTTAATGAATTTATGATATTGTATTAATAATTTAAATAAAACTGTATCACAAAACATATTAAATGAATACAATCGATATAAGTATAAGGTATTTATTGAGTATTTTATAAATCGTAAATAGCACTTAGCCAAGAAAGTTGCTAGATATTATGTTTAATTTAAATCTAAGTATTTTTATTCTGTATTTTGCGTACCTATACCTAGTGGTGACTACAAGGAAATTAATGGGGTAGGGGTGGGGGGAAGTAATAATTTTCAGAAAATGTCGATATTATAATATAATTTTTTTTTTGTAATTATGTTTTTAACAGTAGGTATACATTTGTTTAGAAACACAGCTTGGGGGCCTAGCCCCCCCCCCTGGAGTCGCCCCTGCTACTTAAATTATGAGTTTGAAAATCACAATAAATAGTACCTATAGGCTCTTAGTTTGATCACAACCACTATGGTACTCAACAGTGAGATTTTCTACGTATTTTAATTAATTTTTAGGTTTTGCTATAGAGAGTGGTCGTGATTCACATATACATAAATTATTCATTGAAGATAGACAATTATATTTACATATTCAATCATATTATTTTTATTATAAATCTACCTACATACCACCACTCTTTATGAAAAAGATTCGTAATTGAAATAATTTTTCAATCGTTTTTATGGTGGCTAGCACGACTTTTGGGCAGCTATGCCCAACTCCCCCTGATTTCCACTAATAGGTATACTCAAAAAATTATTTGGTCTAAGAAAATTGTTTCGACACCTTTAATTGCTTTAACCGCCTTAAATTGTACAATAAAATATGTACCTACTTAAGTACCTATGTATAGATTATTTATTATATTCATAGTATAAACAAATTTTGTATCAGGGTCATGTGCTCTAATTGTAAATAAGGGTAAATGAAAATAACATTAATGGAAGTTATAATTTTACTAATAATGACATTTTAGTTGTATTTGGTAGTAATGAACATTTTTTTCGGAACTGTGTTGGTACTAATTTATTTATAATGTTTTAAGGTCATATTAATACATTATTGTTGTTAAAATCGCCTTATTAGTTATTTTAAAACCATGGACAGAACCAGACAGATAAGGACTAAATGATAGGATGGCCGAGTAACGAGGAGGCAACAAATGCCTCGTTATATCTACCTAAACCTTATACACGATAAACAAAATTATAGTTATCTATACATAGTGAACATATAACGCTATCTACTTCGTAAAACTAATTGATAAAATATTAATTATTCAGCTTTTATTTTTTAAATTATACCCATTACCATGAACTAAGATATACTGGATACGCAACGAACCTGTGATAAGTGAAGCCGCGCCATGCCGCCATCTCAGTATCTCACGTTGCGGCAGGACTACTTTTTTTTTTTTATAGCGGTACTTTATAGGATTGTTCTGTGTTAACCGGGATAATAAGGAACTAAATGGCAATAGTTCATTATTCTCCGTTAACAGAACAACCCTATAGCTGAGTACCTCTATAAAAAAAAAAAGAGTAGTGCTGCCGCAACGTAAGAAGTTATTGCGTCGAAATATGAGTCGACATAAGGCACTGCGTTCCGTATCCAGTATATCTTAATTCGTGCCCATTACCCAAGGTGTAATACTGCCCTGCTACCAAGAAGTGCAGTAACTCCAAAAAGTGAAATGTTGGGAAATAGTGTTTAAAGGTTGGTATTTTACCCGAGTTCCACAATACCAATACAATAATCGATTTTCAAAGAGTTTATAGTGGTTTTTACTTCATTTTACCTTAGTAAAAAGAGACTCGGAATAGTTCAATTAATAAGAATATTATATAACCTCACTATTCACAATTTTGGAGTTACTGAACTTCTTGGTAGCAGGGCAGAATAGGTGCCTTAGAAAAACTAACTTTTAATTTGTTCCTATTAAGGTTGGTTATGAATTATGATGGTTATAACTGTTTTCAAAATTACGAGTAATTACTAACAATTTAATACCTACCAAATATTAAATAATCTGTTTTTAATATTTTATTGTTTTGTTTGTCAATTTAAAAACTCACTTGTGTATTGTACTGTAGTCTTGTAAATAATACTTTTTTATTTTGTATTCGGAATACTTTAAAAAGTATTTGAATACTATTAGAATATTTTTTTTCACAACTGGTTTTTGTCAGTTTCTGAATGGTTGGTAATTAACACTAATTAATTATTAATTAAAAATTAAAAATACATCTTAATCATAAGTTATTTATAAATGTTGACTACATAAGATACGGCCGATACGGGATACAACACATTGGTGTTTTTAAAAATTATCATATCATGGGCCAATATTATATTTCGTTCAAAGAATAAAATTAATGTTTATCATTTATTATATGTCCCTACACAAATTCAAAACTATTTTTCTGGATCGGAAAAAAGTATTTAAAATAGTATTCGAATACAAAAAAAGTATTCAAACACTTTGATTTGAATACTTTACAAGACTGCTAAATGTACAGTATATATACAGTATATATTATTATAAATATGTTTAAAACATTTTATTCTTTAGGGATCTGGATAAATTTTGTATCCAGGATATAAAAAAAAAAAAAAATATAAAAAAAAACACCATTGTAAAACCACTATTAATATTTTATTATTATTATTTTGCATTAACTTTGTTTTATAACTTATTTTTATTTTTATATTTTCATATGATTGAGTATATTATTAGTATATTAGTACTTGAGTAATTTGCTAAAAAAATTATTTCAATGGTGGCTTTAACAAATTTCAGTATATTAATTATTCTATTTAAACACATTTTAAAAATTTTTCGACAATGGTTAAATACAATTATTTGACTTTTGTGTATTAAACAATTAAAAATTCAAATTTTAAAATATACCGGGTGATTTTTAAGCATGCTCGCCCCCATTTTACCTTTTAATAATACATTTATTGACATTTTTAGTTTTTAATTTTTAAGTACACCTACCTATTTAAAAACCATATCTTCAATTTTCTGATATTTTGTCATTCTTTAGGAGTGTCCTGTGGCGATACAAACTTCTATTTGGTAAAATGTCACTTGGAAAGTATAATTTGGCAGAACAGATAACGGTTAAAAACGAGAGGCTTCTTCGGGGCAGCTAAAAATAACATTGAGGGAACGTGGATAAGATTATGATAATCTGCCTAGGCGTATGGATGTAAAATCAGTACCTAGTCACGACAGCTTATTGTTTTGAAAGTATGGATGGGAAGTTTTAATTTTTGTCATTGATTTTAATGGAAAAATCGGAAGACTTAAATTTAGGGAGGTCGTGGGTGATAATGCTGACTGTACATCTTTTGCGTTCAGATAATTCCTGAATTACCTCGGTGGTAGATTAGATGGTGTCAGTGGTGGGTAGGAATAGGTATTAGATTCCAGGATAGAGACTCTTCCATTAAGGATATTAAGCTTAGTTCAAATATCATAGATTTCTATGGACAGAACATCACAACGTGAAACCAAAGTATTAATACGATATTTCAGATAATCTCAGAGTGCTTATTGTTTTCGGAAATAATCACATTTTACGTTTTGTGTAACTAACATATTTGAGATAATGTTGTAGTCAGTCAGTCGGAGTATACTGTGTATTTTTAAACAGATGGCTTGGTAGTAATCGAGCAGAAGAAACTTTGGAAGATAAAGACGAATTTGGAGTAGATCGGGTGATAGTTGGAGAAGGTAGTATGCTGAATAGATAAAGCAGATAAAGATTGATAAATAGAAAGTTGCTAACATTATCCCATCATTTAGAACTCATATCCATGATAATCAATTAAAATATGTTAGGGAAACCAAACGTATAAAGAGCCAGCAAACAACTGGGTAGCAGTGAATAATTATAACTAACGTTCAATTCTATGGGAAAACAGCTAACAGCGATTGTTTTGGTGATAAAAACTTGTCGAATAGAAATAACAATGAGACATTTGTAGTTAAGACAGTGGTGAAAACTTAGGTCATATACAGTGGATGGAGCTACAGCTCAATATTTTGATGTACATGTTAGTGACAAGTCGCCGCCAATCGCGGGTTATGTGTCCTCTACTGCGCTGGTACTAGTTGACCTGGACATGAGCCTAGTTGCGACTAATTAAGAGAGCATGCGCAGTAGAGGTCACATAAGCCGCGAGTGGCGGCGACTCGTCTCTAAAATGACATCATCAATGGTACATGTAATATATGGGCCGAGGCTCTATCCATTGTATATGATCTAAATGTGAAAAAACATGTCTTGAAAAACAAACAAAAACTCGAGCTCTGAATTTGGAAACATGTACAACGAACAGTGATGGGTGAGTTATGAAACAAAGCAAGGCACGTTGATTAAATTACCAAATTTAGTCTACAATAAGTAAATAAAAATAAAAAGCTTAAAGCACAAGAAAGTTCATTGTTATTTATCACAATTATTACTTATTATAACTTAATTGTTCATAACAATATTAGCTCTCAGTAAACATCACTATATAGTTTTTTGAAGTTTAGTACCTATGAACTTGGTCATTGTAATTATAAGCATGATTTTTAACTTTTTGATAATATTTATTGAAGTTAATTATTGAACATAAAAAGTTACCTAGGTTAAAAATTAGGTAAAATGTATGACTTCCGTACACTAGTATTTTAACATCCCAATTATAAGACGTCCACGGGCACGTCCGCGGGTACGTCCACGGGTACGTCCGCGGGCACGTCCGCGGGCAAGTCCACGTCCACTTTTTCTTCAATGCTTAACAAATTTTTGCTTTCCAAAAACTGTTTAGCTCCATCAATCGCATCTTGTGTAAACATATCTTTGTGTTCATTCATATAATTGTACGACCACAAGTCCAACTCGGTAATTATGAATACCAAACCTTTTGCATACACTTCCGCACCTAAAACAGAAGGAATTATAATTTATAATAATATTATAATATACCTGACAGAATTTGATTTTATATTCAAGTAATCGATACAAATTATTCTGTATAATTAATGTATTACTATTTAAAAGGAAGGTCCTTAATTCTGAAATGTAATAAATTGTATGATTATATTATATTACATTATATTACCAATAGCAAAATCTTTGGGCCCATAGAACTGATTTTCATCTACACTGGTACCAGGTTTCCGTAATCGTGAAGCTGACATGAACCGTCCTTGAATGAATCCACTATTCTTACCAGCTAATTCAACTATACACATTTGATCGTTGCCAAGGCAAAATTCCATGATGAAATCACGAAGGCTGTCTATTTCATACACAGGTACCATCTTCAATTTATACCTGAGTTTTTTACTTGCGTTAAGCACGAACGTAACAAAATCCAAAGTTTTCGGTGGTTTAGGTACAAGTGATAAACAATTCTGACGCGTATCGTCTGGATCACCAATACCAGTGTGAGGTGGTATCGCCTAATAGTTAATTAACATCATAAAAAAACCAAATTACTAAAAATACTTTAGACAGATGGTTTTCTATACAATAACTAGGTAGGTACCATTTGTTTCACAGTTAAATTATTGTCGTTTAGTTTTATTGGTTGGATGGGTTCAGGTTGAATAATTTTCAAAATGTCTTTGAAGTAATCTCTAGTAAACGGATCACAGTCATATATTATAAATCTGAAAATTGGACAAAAGTTTAAATATTTAAGACCTTTGACTAATTAAGCTTAGCTTAATTTACGCTTAGCTTACGCACCTACGACCCAATACATCTATTGTATTTCCTATTATGAAATCTTTTAGTCCATAATATCCTTGATATTCATCAACTCCTGCTTCTAAATAAATAGACGGAAAGTTTGCTGGAAATTAAAAAAATTGAGAAAGTAAAATTACCCATAAATATTTTTAACTATCAATCTAAACCAATAGTATCTAACCTATAGTATTTTGTTTAAATATAGTATAATAAATAGTAGGGTAGTAATAATGTTTAATGACGATTGTAGTTAGGCACTAAGGTAATGGAAAAGTATCTTTACTTACATGGTAAATTTGACCAATTTTTGGGTAGTTTAATTTTGCTTAAAAACATACCAGATTGATTCAGCTCACATTTATTACCCATGGTTTTTGATTCACTGATTTGTAACATATCGTCAGTTAGGTAATAAATGATTACGAAGTACTTCTCCTCTGTGGAATCCGAATTATCACTATTCCAGGTCGCGTAAAACCTGTAAAATGTTTTAAAAAGTGAATTATTATAGTACAATTTTATGATACCTAAATAAACTCAATAAATTTAGCAATTTATTGTTAAAAATAGAGAGAGAGGTAATGATGTGTGTAATATTGTAAGTACATAATATTATCACTGAGTTGTCTTTATAAATCCAAACACAAGTTAAACATACCTCAGAGCCATCGCATCGTATTTAAAAAAGTTTTTGAGCCTTTCCTCGGCAAATCCACCGTTGGATGCCAAACTAGACATTTTTGATTTTTCGGTTTCCCGCTGCTGTGTCATTTGTCTAATTAAGATGTAAGGGTCCTCGATCACTGGTTCATTATCGGCCACCACTACACCCATGCTCGTCAAATATTTTCTGGTGAACTGATCGCAGCCGCACAACTTGTAAATGATTCCGTAGAAACTAACTTCATCGCCGACATTGAAGTCGGACCAATGCCAATACCTGCCTTCGCGGTGCGGATTCGGTATCTGGCCTCGTCTAAGAACACATCCTTGGACATAACCTGCGTTCTGCAGTATGAGATAAAACATTTTTATTTACTGCACTAATATCTACCTACAATAATCATAATATTGTTATATGATAGCTTCATTTCAAATTAAAATATGGTATAATCAGTTGGGTAAAATGGAGAACGACTAAAAATTTCCTGAAAGTAATTGCCTTGGTATTTTTTTTTATTTAATCAACTATGATTAAACACAATTTTAACAATAATTAACTAGCTTCATAGCAAAACAAAAAATAACTGTCATAACTCACAGTTATAAATACCAGCCTTAATATTAAATGATATATTTTTCATTAATATTTATAAAATAGTATTATAAATATAATAAAACTAACATCTTGAAAAAAAATATCATTAAAAGTTAATGGATACCTACCCATTTTAACCCAAAACTAACAAGTAACATAAAATATATTTTTTTTTTTTTTACTTTGATACAACAGTTTTACCTGGAGTTTGCTTAAACACAACGATGATAAAGTACAAAAACAAAAATAATAATAAGGTATTTTTAATATACAAATGGATGAATGCAATACTAATCACTAATGACCAAATTGTTTCTATACTACATGATTACAACAATACATTTGTTTTGTGAAAAGAAAATTTGATTAAGTACAAATATTTAAACCATGAACATTTCCTCTAATGTTTTGATAAGCCTTTATTTTAATGTTTTAACAAGCCTTTCTTGTCAATATTTCTAAAAGATACTACAAACAAATTTTTACAGAACTTGGAAAACAAAGGAGGAAATTGGTCATAGGAAAATCTAAAAAGCGAGTTTATAAACGAATTTCAACCTATAGAATACTTTATTATATTAAAAAAACAAATTAGAAAATAGGAAACAAAACGACTTAAGAGTCAATTTCTAGTTTTGTTATAGAAATAGAATACTTATGTAGTCAAGTACAAAGAGATATGAAAGAGAAGGATATTTGCATGTATATACTAAAAGGCATAAGAGAACCTATACTGCAAAGCAATTTCACTTCATGATAATAGTACCTACCTTAAAAAATTTTAAATTAAATTCAAATAAATATGAACTAATGCAATTTAGAATTAATTCAAGAAGCTCAGGACTCGGGGAATACACGGAAATTTTAAATAAAGAAGTAGTGAAATTAAATACTGAAACTAAAGACAGCAACCAAGAAATTAAACGATTTAATACAAAATTAGAATTAATAGACAGTTATTATAAAAATAAAATCGATCAACTGTGTACCGAAATGCATAATTTAAAAAAATACGACAAGATAGTCAATTTTGAAGATAGATCACGCAACAGAGACAAAAGCCCATATCCAGGAAGAGCAGATTTCAAAGGCAGGAACAATTTTAGGGAAAAAAGTCCTTATCCCGATAGGCACAACGACTATAAGCTCTGAGAAAGTAGTAAAGATAGATACTATAACAATAAATACAGAGATACCAGCAGAGAAATGAGTTATAATAGAGATAGGTCTTACTACTCAAGGGATAGGAAAAACTCCTACGACAGGTCCAGAGATACTAGCAGAAATAGATATAACAACAGAAATCGTGGAAATGACTCAAATAGAAAACAGCACAGTAGGGACAACAGCAGAGAGAGATATTCAAGATCCACAACGCCAGAAAGATTTAATTTAAGAGAAAACATAACATGCATAAATTTAATGAAAAAGAACATTATGCTAACGATTGCAATTTTTCAAAAAACGAATAGCACCCGAGCTAAGAATATCTAACTCGGGGAACAAATAATATTAATACAAAAAAAAACCGACACCTTAAAATTTAATAAAGATAAGCAAATTGAGAAAAATAATTAAATACATTTTGGAGAAAATTGGTACAAATCAATAAATTCAAATAAATATTAATAACTAATGAAGTAAACAAAGATGACGAAAAATCTATAGAAAACATCGTAACAATAAGTAGTTTAAACCCACTAAACGAATTCCAAAAATTCCTACTCAGCAATAACGATAGAACCGATTTCCTATGCGATTACAGTGAATATTTTTTCATTAAATAAAGAAATACAAATTGAGAATAATTCTATAAAAATGGACTAAATATGGTACAAACATAATGAAAATAATAATTTAAACATTTATACAACTGAAAGCATCACAAGTGCAACCCAAATTCATAAAAATAAAATTAAAATAAAATCTAATGACAATATTACTATTGCACCAAAATCAAAGTCAAAATTAAAAATATATGCAACAAGCAAAGATATACTAACACAGTATAAAATAAATCCTACAGACCGCTTTGGCAGCAAAAAACATTTAATGCTAGAAACCCAGATAGTAGACTATTCTAACGAAGTAATCTTATACAATTATTCCAACGTATATAATAATATTCCAAAAGGAATGACAATAGCCGCGATTCACGAATTAAACATACAAAATAATAAACACAAATTACCTACAACAAATTAAATTTAAAACAGACAAATCGATATTTCAACCGCCGTAATTAATTTTTACTGTATAAAATTAACTCAGAATATTTATAAAAAAAAGAAGGATTTACCTATGACAATATTATGTGAGGATCTAGAAATAATTAAATACATATAATTTACAATACACATTAATGATTAATTTTTCACATTACCCATTAGGTATACAACCATTTTAAATCAACGCATAAATTAAATTTAACTATCTAATTTTAATATTTTTCCCGGATTTAAAAATATGTAATACCCTTTTAAGAACAAATATGTAATTTAGCACCAGATTAGCAAAACCAATAGCAAGACATCAGCAGTTTTTATACTAACTAATTACTAAACTATATTGTAATATTATAATATAACAAATTAAATTTAAGCAAAAAAATATATAATATTTATATAATATTTTGATATATCCATTATCCATATATAAGTATAATTATATGTCATGTCTGTTCAATTAACTCTATACCTGTATTAGAAATGTATGATATAAATTTATAATATTACATTTAAGAAAAAATAATAAAATATTAAAAATATGTTACAAACTTACAAATATAAAAACAAAAGAATAGAATGTATTTTCAGCATAATCAAAAATTCACTAGTCAACAAGCCACAACAATCTTCTGAGACAAGGGGCGAATATACTATTTTTTAAGTAGACAATAAGCATTAAACCAATAATTATAGAAACAATAGCAAATACAATTTTTCCATATGAAGACACGAAGAAGAAACAGTCCAAACAGAAATTTTAAAAGTAGAAATATAGATATAAGAATAAAAATTACAAATCGAATTCGAGAAAACGAAAACAAGCAAGATAACAAATACTTATCTTATGAAATACAAAAAGAGAAGAAGAATTAACTACCACAGAATCAAAGAATAAAATCCCAGAGAAGAACAACGAACATTTACTGCTATTTGTCGAAATAAAAATATTATACTTCAAACCGTGAACAATCTCTGAGAAAACATTTTTCCACAAAAGGACCAATCAATACATTTTTATAACCTTATATATTATATTCATATTTTTTTTAGTCACGCATTAAATAATTAATTATTAAAATAGTATAATTAAATGAACATTTAAGCATAATTTTATAGTCAACGACGCAAATAAGCCGAGACATTAATTTAGTGATAAAGTAAGTTAGTATTTAGTGTAGTAATAAGAATTTTGTAGCAATAGCATTAAAAAAAAACTACGGGGACTGTCGTATATTGTAGACAGTCGTCAAAATATTATTATTTAATATATATGTAATATAGGTGGGAATATTTTAAATTGTAAATTATTGACATAGGTGAGGCCAGTGAAGCAATATGTGCTGAGGCAGCAATAATTTTTTACTATATAACACCGCCGTAAGAGCAGGCACAGGAGTCACATTGTCGCTGAGTGTTTTGGCGAGGACGTAGGTACGACGGTTGTACTTGTGAAACGTCGATCGTAGTACGGGCTAGGCAATCTGAATTTGCTAAGTGATTTATTTATGTTTGTTTTAATATAATAAAAGTGTTTCCGACCTGAAAACCCGAGCTTATAATAATTTCAGTCATTCTTAAGTTCTTACCTTTTATAGGAGCAGCGCAGGGATAACGTACTAAGTGTATAGTATATATATATATATATACTATGTGAATAGTGAAAAGGTATTTGTAATTGTTGAGTCATTTCAACTAGATAAGAACGAACTAAGAATTGACAAGCGCATATCATCGTACCTCGAAGTTAACGGTGCCATTCTAATTAATTTTAGAGAGTGTCATTAACTAGATAATACGAGGGTAATAAGGAGTATAGTTGGTTTACCACGTTTTATACAATACGAGTGATACCACAGTTTTTAATATGATTGTCACAGGGTATAAGATTTTTTAGATAGAATATTAATTGAAATATCCCAAGGCATCAAGAAATTTAAAAAATAATATTTTAGTATAATATATCATGAGTGTAAAAAAATTAATAAATTTAATTTAAAAATTATTAAAGTATACTTGAACAAATATTGTTTGTTTATCACATTGATAGCTTAATATTAAAAAAGACTGTTTAATTACAGAGAATGTGCCTGTTTTTAAATATAGACAGTAAATATATATTTATATATATTGAGCAATGAATATCATATACGATGCTGTTATTTCTGAAATAACTATAATTTAAGAATTTTAAATAATTTTGAAGTTTTATTCCACCTTAGGTCAAAAGTTAATAAATTTGCTGACATTTGGGTAAGATCATTTCAAAACCAGCATTTACAACTAAATCATGGTGACCATTTTATAAAAAATATTTAATTTAAGTAAAACACTGTATAATTCATATTAATTAATAATATTATATATAAATTATATAATAAGTTTCCATAGTGTGCAGCGGCTATACAGTGCGTTAAAACATATAATTTTGTTAGCTGTTCGTAACTAGAATATAGAATTTGAAGAGTAAATATTTTAGGAATTATAGTAAAGAAAAAAATTAACCTTAACAACGGATTCCACGATTTCAATAGTGTCATCAACCA